AAACCATACCTTAATCTGACGCGCTCGAGTTTTTCGAACGATCGATTTTTTTTTACTAATCTGACGGGCTCCCCTAGACCCCCGGCTCTATATAGAGGTTTAATATTTGGTGGGGGGTACTTATTAGGGTGCAAGCTTTCCCCCTTTATGTTATTCTAACGCGCTCGAGTAAATCCCAAAATCCCCAGTTGGCCTCCCCTACTATTGAGAGTAATCCCGATCAATAACGAGATCTTTACTCGAGACGGCTACGCTATATTTTTCATCCGTTTATTTCTTCTTTTTCTAAGGAAATTTGAAAGTAACAGATTCTAGTTTATAAGCGGATCAAACTCCTATACTCGAAAATGACAATAATAGATAATCAACTTACAGGATCTACAATAGAAGCGGGCTGCTCCCGGAAAAAGCCGTTTTTCTTTTCTTAGATCAATTATAATCAAAACTCGCCAATTTACAATAACAAATTGCATGTGTACGAATCAATCATTCGCCCATATATATGTACGAGACAAATTATAAGTCGTGTATTATTCTGCAATAAAACATAAGTCATAAGTCGCATAGGTAAAGTGTTCCATTCGCATGATGTACGTGTACAGATAATATATAGCTAATAACGTATAGTTAAATACATCGTAGTGTGAGTACAAATAAAATTTCATTATAATATTTTCATTAAGTAACGAAATTAAATAAAAACTGTCCAATGAATTTGTCTTAGTTCAAATCGTACAAGTATAATTGATTATCTTCTCTGACATTTGTCAATACATCTTTTTCTAAATTGTTATTTATCTAAATTGTTTAATTTTGCAGAATTACTTGAAATGAAAAAAGAAACATTGATATATCTCTTATAATTAATAATTTCTATACATTTCAGAAAGTCGCGAGCTTAATTTTTGCTCGCGTTTAATTACCTTATATTTTACTTCTTTAGTTGTATTAATGGTTGGTGAGTATTTCTATTTTTCTAGAAGCAGCCCGATGATGATCCAAGTTGTTAGTTCGTAAGAAATAATAACTTAGATGCTAAGAGAACTTTTTGGCTATATTACTGTATACATTAATACGTATAAAAAGAGGATAAATGACAAGTGTTTGTGGAAGCGCCTCCGGAGACTAAATTCAAAATATTAGTCATCCGGTATAGCATGTGAACGATTATCGTCAATGTTGTACAGTTTTAAACGTGATTTCGAATTGTTAGTGGTACTTAGCACGTAATATATTTACAACTTTAGATCTATCTTTGAATTAATATTACTAAAACGATCTACTTATAAGCTTCCATCCATGCAGTTACTATGTAAGACACGTGGAATGACAGAGGTGCGATGAGATAAAAATGAAACTCTTATTACATTACCATGTCCGAATGCAATTAGGCAATTTTCCATAAGCAGCGGATTCCAACAAAAACTAGCTATATAATCACTAACGATAGGTTTTACAAAAGAGTTTTGAAATAATGTCTTAGCGCATCTTTCGTTGCATTTTAATTGCAATGCCTTTTTAGATTTCACATGTTTTTCGAAGTCTGTATTTACGCATGGACACATTATGAACAATGTCGAAATTTTATTCTAAAAATGCTGTGTAATTATTTTATAACATTATTAACTTATTAAAGGCATTGATATACTCCGATTAGCAATTTTATCAAGAAGTTTTTGCAAAAATATCTCTATATATTACATACACTTTTATCATAAATTTTAAAAGAGAAGTTCTGCAATAAACGTGAACTAACTGTAAAGTTAGTATCGATGCTTATCACTTGCATTTTCATTGTCATTTATTCTACATCATTACTTTAACGTTTGATGTACGTAAAAATAACACGATATTGCAAGAGCTTCTTTCTTTTTATCTCCCTTTTTCGCGCAATTATTGTATATATTTCAAAACTGTACAACTAGCTTTGTATACGCGCAGACTAATATTTCAAACAATATATTGTAAAAACGATCGCTTAAGTACGAATGGTCTTGTAACTTCTCGGTAAGAGGAATAAATAGCTATAAGAATTCGAGATAAAAATTATTTTAAAGTTTATATTAAGCAAAAGACAAAGCATTGTTAATATGTACGGAACGATAGTCGAATCATACCGTGCTTAACACCTGTGCAAGTATTACGTTCCACAAAAGCCTTTTTTGTGGTGTGTGACGTCGCAATTCCGGGACAGTTGCAACAATATCAACGTTAATTACATCTTCCTTCTACATTATACACTTCTATATTATACATTTCCTTTAATATTATATATAGAAAAAAAGTCTATTTCTTCAAAAAGATATGAATTAATTAGTTCAACGATGAAATAGGAAAATAAAAAGAGATTTATAAAGCATCATCATTATTATGCTTTCCTAATCTTCAATAAATCAGAGATTTGTTCAGTCATACAATTTTAAAGTTTAAAAACAAATCTTAACTTTGAGATTAGATATACAATTTAGAAGAGAAAATTATGCATGTCAACTCTCCTTATTTGAATTTATTATTCTTTTACATTGTCAATTATACAAATTAGGCCATGTTATATCTTTTGTTCTTTTTTTACTTTGACATCTTTGAATATTGATGTCTTACCACTAATAAATAAAAGTACTCTGAAAAAAATTCTCATAAAACATCATAATATTTTTAAGAAGTTTTTATATTTTAAATTTATAAACGTTTTTGAAAAAATAACTTAAACTTCTTTAGATTTTATAAGTTTTCTTTGGAAATTATAGAATGAGAGAATGTTTTAATTTGTACAAAAAATTGAAAAAAAATTATGCAATTTGCAATATGCAGACTATGTATTTTTTTACATTAATTGATTTATTTCATTATTTATGTATAAAGGTATTAGGGTACAATTGCAAAAAAAAATAAATAATTTAACAAATAAAGATATTTTTCAATCCAATTAGACGTAAAATAGCAATTTTTAAATGACATCACAGCTACATCTATCCATTTTTATGGTTTTTTTAAGGAAATTTTTCGTTAATATCTCGTGATTTACAAAATACCACAGTTTCAACCCATTTGACTGAAACCATGTTTTCCATATGAGATTAGTGAAAGGTTTTTTCTAAAAAGTTATTAAGTCATACAGAAATTTCAAAAAATTCTGAAACAAAGATAGAAATATTATGAAAAATTATATTTAAAAAATGTATGAAGAATTCTAAGAAAAATTCTGAATATAAGTGAACCAAGGATTCTTACAATATCAATAAATTATTTATTAAAGGTCAAGGGCTAATAAGAGTCAATTTAATTTATTAATATCAACCCCAAAAATTCTGAAATATTATATGAAGAATTTTAAGTAAAATTCAAAAAAATTATATGAATTTTTTTTAAATGGAGGAAGGTTTGATAAATGCTAATTGATGTTGATGTACCTGATCCCTAAAAAAAAAAGAATTAAAAAATTTTTACAAAAATTAGTGATCTCATTGGAAAAATTTCATAGGCAGGATACTTATCTTTAAGTATTTTGTAGATACACCGTTCCGCATACAAAAAGCGCGTCCGTTCCGTACTGCAAAGCTAGAATGTCTTAGAGAGTGAAAGTATTAGCTGGCGAACAAAATCGTCTTGCAGGACTAGCGCGCGCGTGTCGAATTGTATCCGAGGAACGTTGAAATTGTCAACCCTTTCGTTTCTCTTCAGCATTTACATGTTAGGCTAGCTTAACTAACAAGTAATTCCACTAATCGTCTACTTGTTATCGCGTACACTTTATCTAAGACGTTCGTTTATCTCCTGTTTCAAACAAATGCACGAACTGTACGAGTTCAAATCCGGTAAAAATATTTGCAAGAATGCCGAATTCTAACACGATATCACTGTGAGGTTGTTACATTACATAACGCCGTGCTGAAAGATAAAAAATAATGATCTTTTCGCGCTCAATCTATCAAGTGTATTATCAAGCATTGAATTAATTTAAAATGAATTGCGCGAATAACGCGATAACTGGTTTAAAAATATTTAAAAGCGTACAAAGAAACCTCTTCAGATGTTTAAAAGTGCGTTTTGAAGTCTTCTGAGATTTTGTTATCTTTCGGCGCGGTCAAGATATTGATAAATATTTTTCGTGTTTTCAAGTCTCCATCTCACATATTTAAAATAAAAATTCATGATGGTTTTTTCATATACGCATTAGATCAGAACATTATTCTAAATGATATATATATATATATATATATATATATATATATATATCTTTAGCTCTTAATTCATTCCAAAGTTTGCCTAGAGATTATTAAGATATATTAATGCTCATGGTTTCATCGTCGCATAAAACACATAATAAGAAGTCAATCCTTACTACAATATTTAAATCGTAATTTGACATATCTCGCGTAAGATAAAAGAAAAAAAAAGTCGGTCAATGTCGATCGCGAAGCGCGCGAGCGTTGTTAAAATCTTGATTGTTTAATAGATAGCAGACTTTGTCGAAAATGTTAATTTTCTTTATATAGTCTATATGTAATGTACCGTATAAATATCTCTTTTTCAGTTAACCTGTAGCGTTACTTAGAAAGCATCCGATCTTCAAAATCAAAGCCATACGTAGGAAAAAGGGAAATTTTGATGAAAAGAAGACTGCTGCCTGTTTCTCGACAGAAAAATATCAGTCTCTTTGACAATAGAACAGAATACGCAATGAATCATATCATTATTGTTCTTTAAATGTAATGGCATTCGTTCATGTTTCAATGAGATGCAGCGTCGTTTCATTTGAGGCGTTCTTATTCTTGCTTATGGAACCTATTCTTCTATATGGAATATACGTATTTGTCGTTGTCATGCGCGAATTTATGTTATGCGATCTGATCAAGATATATGATTAGAAATGTCTCAACTGTAAAACCGAGTTCTAAGTGTCGCTGCGAAATATATCTCAGGATGTTCTACTCTTTTACAGACTATGAGTTTCATTGCACGTTTCACGCATTAATCTTAATGGCTTTGATAGCGCTACATTTATTAATAATTGGGTAAAAGGAGCATATCTAAGTAATCACAAGGTATATGATATATTATGATTACGAATTATTAAACATTGTATCAAATTTTATATTCACTTCTTGTGGTTGACAATAAACTGGTTTTATAAAAAAAGAAAAAAAGGAGAAAAAATATCATCAAGATTGTACATTTAATGCGACGGCTAAAAAAGGACCAATGAGTATCTGGCTAATATAAATAACATGTTGCTGTACAAAGAGAGGTTTATACAGTATTATATATTTAAACTTCATTTCGGATATCCCCAAGGGTCTTTCTTTTGATCCATTAAGACAAGAGAAGATTCACAGATCTTTTTGAACACCTCGCGTAACTTTCCCTTTGAAAATACCTATACAAGAACAACGACATATAAATATACACATTTCTATAAAATTAACATCTAAATATATTACAATAGTTATTTTATTGTTTATACGTACTTTATATAGCTGATATTGTTCGGAAGCAAGTACGTCAGCCAATTGAATGGAGCCGTCATGCTCGTTCATTTCTGACATAACCGAATGTAGCAAAAGTGTGACTTTAGGAATACAAAGCTCACGCAGCTTTTTCAACTGGTGTTCCCTAAGTTCATCTTCAGGCGTGCACGACTCGTCGTTACTACTCTTCGAATCGACGAGCCAACCACCGTCGGGAAACAATAAAACATTAAATAATAATTGTTTCACAGCCTGAAACAAAAAGAAACAAGTATTCATATATTCACATTCGATTGTGCTTACGTTAATACATTTTGTACGCAATCACATTTTTCGCGTACCTTCGTATGATGCTGCATAGTAGATTTCCATCTTTCGAGTTCTAAATTGTACTGCGTCTTTCTGTGATCGTACGCAACCTTTTCGGTGAACGTAGCGTATGTGGGTAATTCTTCTGGTGACGTGGGTTTACCGTGATGATAATGAGAGAACCATTCGCCAAAACCTTCCTGGGCATCAAGATATGTTTTATAACAAAGGTATTCCCTTATTGCCGCAGCAGCTTTCTTCGACAAGTTATTAGTTATCGTAAGATTGAGCGTGCAGTCTATAGTTGGATACTCGCTCATAACCGATTCAATTGAATCTGATGGAATCTATACAACATACAAAAACAATTATTTAATTATACACTAAGAAAAACAATTTATTACAGAATTATAAACTGCGTTAAAATTAATGATAAAATTCATATAATAATTATAATTATCTTTAATTTTTACCTTGTTAAATGCTTTTCGAGCTGCATCGATTTTTTCGTTAGTCAAAAAGTATCTAATGAGCGCGTTTGTTTGTCGTAAAGCTTCTTCTCTCTGACTTTGATAGAAAATCAACCAATCTAAACCATTAATCTTTTCCATGTCCGCTTCAGTGATAGTTCCCTTTAAGTCTGTTGGGTCGGATTCTATGTCTTTTTTACGTATGTTTTCCACCACCAATTTTGTAATTGCTTCTACATTCAAGTTCGCGTCTTCCGCTGCACGCAAACATTTCTTGCGCTCTTCATGCTCTTTAACACTTTCTAAGTAAGAGGCATAATTGATTATTTGATCCTCTTGTGGTAATGTAGCTGTGTAGAACGCAATTAAAGTCGGATCACCCATTTCAATGAGAACGCGAACATACGCCAACAAAACTTTATCTTCTACTTTATCCTTTGTACTTTTCCCGATTTGTCTGAAGAATAATATTAGATGAGCCAGAAATCTAAGGAACTGCGAGTCACAGGTGCCGACGTCTATCATACTTTCAATCTCCTCCATTAACTTCGGTATTTGATCTAGTATTATATATTTTTGAATTAAATGATCGGGTTTGTTAGATTGAGCACGTATTATTGGATTTTTCGACGCGTGCAGCTCTTTGAACGCGTCTTCCAACGAGATTTCATTTTTCCAATATTCTTCCGGCATAATTGTATAAATTTTTACCATCATTAATCTCAATGCTGATTCGACTTTGATATCTAGAAGGCTCTTCACGTAAGCCCACAATGCATCTTGCCAAGAGGATGCTATTTGAAGTAATAGTTGGACATTGCCACAAAGACTTGCATATATGGCACGATAAAATATACCTGCAATAAAATTGTAAAATATGTATACATAGAAATAATTATTTTCTATATATTTAGTTACAACAGTTGAATTTAATCGATAAAATTTATTGATACAAAATTTCGGCATTTTAAAGTATTTAAAAATTATTCTAACAAAGTATTCCAATAATTTACAATTTTTTTTCATTAATATATTTCGATAATATTAAATAAATAATTACCTATGCGTTTATCTTGCGACAATTCCCAAGCACATATTTTCCAAAGACTTCTATTAGGATTCCCTTCGATTGGTAATTTAGTGTCTGTCAATGGATTACTATAGTTTGGATCATGATTAGGAATCCATCCTAATAAAGATGCGGCTCTCCAAGGTTGACCACAATGCATGGCTAATGCTTGTGCTTTCTGAAGACGTCCACAACGTACCTATAATACACATTGTCTTAAATGTAATTACATTTTTTTCATCCTTTTAATTATTTTTATAACATTCTGTGAAAAAGTTATTTAAATTTGTTATTCAAATTATAATTATTATAAAAATATAATTATTTTAACCCTCAGTACCCACAAAGGGTTAGCGTAACCCCCCCGATTTTCATAGTGCAGACGTTTCTTTTCGATCCCTTTTCACTTATTGCAAAATATCTTTTGTGCTACGACATTCTACTTTCTAACTCAAAAATTCTTTTTTTTTCAGTCTTCAAACGATAAATTAAAAAAAATTAGTTAAAATCGATGCACTACAATCTAAGATACAAGCAAAAGAAAACGCTGGGTTACAAATATCCGGATGTGGGTAGACTTTTTTGGATATTTTTGAGATGTGAGTATTGAAGATTAATTATAATAATTAAACGCGTATAAGATCAATTGCTAAAAAAAATAAGCAAAACAAAGATGTTAAAATGTGTTTAAAAATAATAATTATAATAATTTTAATAAATCAGAAATCATTTCAGTCGAGACAAATATGTAATCTCTATACATACCTCTATAAACATTCGTTTTTCAAGTCTGACATCATCTTCTCTGTCCAAATCATGTAATGGCCTACCCTCTCGTATCGGTGCATCAGGATCTAAAGACGATACCAGTGGTCTGGATGAACTGAATGCAATTCCTAAATTTTGATTGTGCAATTGATGAACTGTATTTTCCCAAGCTACTGTTTTATCAGTAAAGAGCTCTATGGACGGACATTTATCCGCTTGATCCAGAGCATTTTTTTCTAACCAATCAATAATCAATTGATATTCTCTGATATAACTCTCAGACTTATACAAATTTTCTATAACATCTTTCTCAGAGATATAATTATTGCTTGTTGGTCCATCATGTTCCATCTGTGTAGACAAGCCAGCGCTACTTATACGATTCTGATAGAGGCAATATATCAGTCTCCATGTGTTCCTCTCACTTTCTAAAGAAATTTCTTCTTCTGCTACTTCTGTATTCTCAACTTTTGATTGCATACCTGTTGGAACAGACAATAATGTTTTGCTTAAAACATAATACACTGGCATCAGCTACGAAATAAAAACAATGTAGAAAATAGTCCAGGTGTAAGACCTAGTCTTGCCATAAATTCTATTAGTAGTTTAAATGGATAGAACAAAAAAACAGTAACAGATAGACCCAAAATTATACATATATTTTGAAAGTAGAGAAAAAGACTGAAACCATCTATTTTTTATTCAAAATGCCCATCTTTGTCCCATATACATTTGCGTAAACGTTGGGACTATTCATCGATCAATTTACGCATAATCTTCAGTAAAATCTTCTCAGCTGTTGACACAATGGATCACTTGAGCGACTCCAAATTGCGGTGAGACTTCTTGCAAGCTATGTCCTCCAAAACACGTTCCACATTTTATAGTCTAGCGATTTAAAGTCCGGACTCCTGGACAGCCAATCAGAAGCTTTGATGAAGTTTAGAACATTGTTCTCCAGCCATGCTTGTGTCATTTTCGCCTTGTGTGCAGGGGCTGAGTCCTGCTGGAAAGTCCAAGGCTGACTATCGAACAAAGCGTGACTAAGAGACTTAACAACAGTCTCAAGGACCATATTGTGATCAGAACAAAGATGGGAATTTTGAATAAAAGATAGATGGTTATGTAGCTTATTTTCCTTTACTTTCAGAATATATGTATAATTTTGGATCTATCTGTTGCTGTTTTTTTTTTCTCTATCCGTTTAAACTACTGACAGAATTTATGACAAGACTAGGTATATAACCCAGTACTCCAGCTGAGTTAAAGGGAGAATCTTATGTAACACATTAATAAAGTGATTCTTTAAGAATTTTTTTAAAAGAACCAATCAATGAAACATTTAAAACTTGTAATGTATTTTGAAATATATTTCTAGATATAAAAAATATTTTTTTATTGTAATTGACATATAATATAACACCTGTTGTATTTGAAGATGAATCAAAACGTTAGTAGTTAACTTTATTTGGTAAGTACATTCAAATTGTTTGCAAATTATATCTCAGCCTTATAAATATATTTATGTATTAACAACTGCAGAGGCTCATATAGGTATTTTATATTTGATTTATTCTTAGAGTTATAAAGTTATTTTGATTTTAACACAGAACAAAGCTGTTTCCAGTATTTTCACCTCTCATTATATCCAGCGTGTCGGTACAGTTCTGTATGAAATCCGCGATGGTATCAAAGACCTGTGCCTTTGAGAAGTGCGCTTGCACACTCTGCAGGAAGTCGTAGTAAAGCTTGGATTTGACCTCCCGCCACGGCTCATTTGCCTTCAGAATCGCCCCGGTCGCTGTGCTGTCCTCCATCATCTCCTTAATGGTAACGTCGTTCCTCTCCGAGCGCATCATTATATCGCGGATTTCGTGAGGCGCAAGGGTTAGCGAAGTGTCAAGCTCCACATTGTAAAGCTTGGTTAGTCTGGTTCCCGCGGTCTTGTCGACCATCCCCGAGCTGTGCGTGTCGCTGAGAATCTGTCTACTATCATCAGCATCCCTCCGTGACTGACCGGTTGCCTGTAATGATATCCTCTTCGGAGTGGTGCTCCGCTGGCCGCTTAACCTCAAAAATGTTCTCCGTTGACTGTTCTGCTGACTTAACAGACGAATCGATTGGTCGAGATTCTCCTTGACGTCACTTAATGAATCCATTTCCCATCTGACACGATCTAGCAAGAAATCTCGATTTGGCGTTGAAAATATCCAAAAGATGAAAATAACACACTATGCTACATGAAAAGTCACTCTTTTTGCATCATCTCCGTCAAACAAATACACCGGTTGTCGGTACAAAGGTGCATGCCAGTTAATCTTTAATCTTTGGTAAAATGGCCCCGAGCTCATGTAGAGTCGAGATACGGCCAGTATCAAAAGCTACCGCCATGTGCGGCGAGTCGCGAAACTAGGCGCTAAAGTAACGGAGTAAATATAGGGGAAATGAAAGTTCCCGCGTAAATCGTACACAAATTCCCCAGCCCAACTGCGGGGAAAGGGTTGAGTAGGGAGTGTTAAATGCTGAGGTTATTAGACTTGAGGAATCCTAAGGGTGAAATCACACGGTGCGTCATAGGGCTGCGGAATACGGAATGCGTCATTGAAGCAACCAATCAACGTTATTCTGGGTTATTCTGGGTTATTCGGAATAACCCAGAATAACGTTGATTGGTTGCTTCTATGACGCATTCTCTATTCCGCAGCCCTATGATGCACCATGTGATTTCACCCTAAGAGTAGACGAATTAATTTCGGATTAGGGTTTTTAAGGAGTGAGAAAATATTTTTCTGAGTGTCAGGAAAATTATGGATGTATGAGATGAGTTTACCCGACTTAGGGGCTGTGAGTGGGCAGTAGAAAATGATGTGGTTGATATCTTGATGTGGGTCTCCACAAGGACAGGCCTTAGATGTTACGATGTTTTTTCTGTATAGACTGTAGTTTAGATT